TACATTTATCTTACCTTTTTTTTTGTCTTTTTGATAGGGTTTCTCTACACAGTTCAGGGTGGCCTTGAACTCACTTTGTAGTCCAGGCTGGCCTCAAACTTGCAGTGATCCTCCTGCCTCAGCCTTCCTAGTGCTGGAATTATAGGTGTGCACCACCACGCCCAGCTTATCTTGAAACTTTGCTATTTTAACTTCTTGAAGTTCCATCTAGTTCTATTTCTGCCTTTCATTTTTTCATTATACGTGTGTTTTCCTTTAAACACATAAGCATATTTAAGACAGAGTTCTTAAAGCTGGCCATGGCAATACAGGTCTGTAATCCCAGGTACAGGGAGGCTGAGGCAGGAGGATTTTGAGTTTAAAGCCAGGCTAAGCAACATAGTAAGAACCCATACTAAAACAATGCTCTAGCTTTTGTCCTTCTGTCTCCAATGGTCTAAATAGGCTTTATCTTATTGGATTTTATTATGTACGATAGTATAAGCAAAAACCTTTTAAAGACAAGGAGATTATACAGAAACCATTGTTCATTTTCTGTTAGTCGATTCTAAATACTCTGTAATGCTGTCATTCTCTTGAATGGTTTTACATTGTTTTGATATACTTAATGCTACAGTATACGAAGTTGTACTCAAGGATTTCAAAGAAAGAAACAATATGGTAACTACTTTTAGGTTAGGATTATCTGGTGGTGAAACACTATTCTGCTTAAATGGTTATGTTTTGATCTGCGCTGTTTCGTTGTTATGCCCTCTTTTATCTCAATCTCCACTCCATTATTTACTTTTTTATCTTTATCCTTTTAATTAAAGGAAAAAAATAGCAGGATATATTATAGTAACCCATTTTGACTTTTCATTACCTTGATTTAAAGCCCTGTATTACTCTCACCATCTGGTTTTTAACTGATGTTCCCCTATTCTGTTTTGCTGGATAGTATCAGGTTCGAAAGTTTAGGCATCAGCTGTGAAGATAATGAGATTCATTATGACGCCCATTCTTGTTGACTTTTAGCTACTTTTGAAGACCTACAATGTCTCCAATGTTTTGGTTTTGTCGGTTTTATTCTTTACTGTTTTGTTCAATTGTATTATAACTAATGATATAGGCAATTCTATTAGAGATAGCGGGAGACATTATGGTAACCATTGTTGATCACCTGTATTATGTTTTTACATTATCTATTATGTCCACCCTTTTGAGTGGACCGATTCTGTTCTGTTATGTCACATTTGGTTTTACTCTCTTCCAAAAAAGTAATAAGAACCGTGGGAGCAATGAAACCCAAAATGTGTAATAGTCATGGTACAAAAGAGAGGAAAAGAAAGTACTCTAAACTATATAACTGCATGTATATTTAAGTGTATAAGATAGAAAATGATATCACAGAGTTTTATTGGATCAATGAACAGAACTGTTTGCAGTATCATTGATGGAATGTCCACTTTACAAGCTTTAATTTTGTGACTTGAACAATTATTTCTAAGATGACAATATGTAATCCATTAACCAGTGATTTCCTACTGTTCATTTTTTTTCTGTAAATCTGTATAACTTGTACCCTTTCCCTGCTTTTTTTTTTCTTTTCTCCTTAAATAAAATTAAAAAAAAAAAAAAAACAAAAAAAACAATGCAAAACAGTTCTTTGTCAAATCTTTGTCACCTATGGATATTTTTATTGCCTGACTTTTGTCCTAATTATATAGTATAGTACATGATATTCCTCCTTTGATAGCCTCAAATTTGTACTGCATATGAATGCTGTTCTGCAGTGCCTGGAGTTGTTTTTTTTTTTTGGGTGGGGATGCATTTGAGATATAAACTAAGGCATTTACATGTGCCAAGCAAATGCTGTATCACTGAATCACATCCGAGCCCTGCAAATGCCTGGATTCTGATGTCTTCATTAAGTGATATTTTTTGTCTGGCAAATAGTGTATGCCTTCCAAGGCTTGTTTCTAAGTTTTGTTAGGGAAAGATTACAACAGCTTTTATGTCTAATTTGGTCCCATGCCAAGATAAGAACTCTGTCCAGTCTCCACTGAGTGCTCTGAATGTTCAGCAGGGTTTGTTCCTCTTTATCTAGCTGGAATCCACCCCTTCCTGAATTCATGTGAGTTTTCCAGCCTGGCCCAGTTTCCAAGTCAGCTCAGTCTTCTGGTAGCTGTTTCTTACCCGGGTTCAAGTAATCTTACCCAGCTCGTGTGCAAATTAGTGCTCACCCCGTACTTCCAAGGAATCCCCAGTGAATATTTTTAGAGTTTCCTTTTTTTTGTATTGTCCTGCTACTTTGGGTTTCAGTCACCTTGGTTCCCTGAATTGTGATCTGTCTCTTGGGCTCTATGAGACTGTTGTGTCCTTGATTTATCCTCACCTTTGCCTGTGACACACACAGGTAATGAGCAGAAGACTGCAGTCACTTGACACTCCACTTCATTTACCTCCCTTCTTAAGGATTGAATTCCTGTGTTAACTATTATCTAATGTCTTAAGAGAGCAGGTTTGTGTATTTTGTCCAGATTTCTACTTATTCACAAGAGGATGGTCAGTCAGGTTATTTCCAGGGTTAGCAATTAAGGACTTGAGTTCTAATGAAGTTTGCTATTTGTTCTTATAAATAAAGCTTTATTATAACAGGGTTTGTGTACATGCTATCTATGACTGCTTTCCCACTGTAAGAGTAATAATGGAGCCCAAAATTGTATGGTTCACAAATCTACTCTATCACCTATTACAGAGCTAAACTCTTGTCTTATTCTAACATGATTTAAAGACAGAAGTCACTGCCTATTTTTGAGTATTATAAAACTAAATAACTGTATGATAAATTGCACTGGATTTCTCTTTTCTACCAAGAACTTAAATATGCATTATTACTACTGTCCTCTTACTGTGCTTCTAATACATCTTGACATTCACCTTTCTGTACCAAGAATTTCACAATTTCCTTCATTTTAGGTCTGTGAACAATTAACCATAAGAAGCAATCACTTACCCTCAATTAATGGACATCATAAACTTTTTCCAATGCTAACCCACTTCAGAGAATTTTGCAGTTACTAAGAACGAGCTAAAAAAGTTCATCATTAAGCTCTATGGACATGCTGAAGCACACACTACAATATAGCTCAACTCTAAGGGACTTCAAGAAGTAATTTTAAACAAAATTGTACAGTAAAGACTATTACTTATTTAATACACATCCATTACTGTAGATCTAAGAGTTTTAATTTTTAAAATAAGAACCATAATTCTACTTCAAAGAGTTTTGTTGTTATTTGCTAATATCTGACAGTTACTGCAAAAGTTAGAGGCTATAACCACCACAAACAATAACTCACAGATTTTTAGGGGTGTGAAATCTGAGTGTGGCTAAGGCAGTGTTTCTGGCTTGGGATCTCTTCAGAAAGCTCACTTGGGGCTGAAGGATCTTTCAGCTTCTGTCTCTTGCCTTGAGGATTTCTTCCTCAGGCTGTACAAAGTCCTCTCCACAGGATAATTGGCCTCTTTCAGTGTGTGTGACTTAAGAGTCACACAGTATGCCATTTGGGACCTACTCTTGGAAGCAATATATGTCTGCTCTGCAATGTCCTACTGCACAAGTAGACTCTATTCAGCATGGAGACCACTGTAAGTACCATGAGGGAAGTAGCCAAGGCCAATTTGGATGCTAGCTGTCACAGTAAGTGCAAACATTCATTACCCAAAGCAGTGAAAAATTGTTCTGAGACCCTCTAGTGGTCTCCATCTTGTAGCACCCTTCCCTATCTAGCTGTTCAGCGGTCCTAGCCTACCTACACCCTGGCAGGTGCTGAAGCTACATGCCAGATTCCAACTTAGGAAGGTCATCCAAAACTGTGGCCAGACAGTGCTTGCTAAGACCAACAAAGTCCCATAATGAGGAAAGAAACAAAGTTCACACCACTCTTCCTGAGGAGCCTTTTCGCTTTCGCTGCTTTAATTAGTGACACTAGCACCCTAAAACAAGTGACTCCAGTGGTGCTATAGCCCACAAGCTGACCACTGTTCTACAAGTAAACCCCAATAAAGTCAGCTATTTGCCTAGCTGGAATTGCCCAAGCTGTTTGTTGAACTGCTTGATATCCTTCTTTTTTGTGGTATTGGGAGTTGGATATTAGGACTTTACGCATGCTAGGCAAGCAGTTATTCACCAAGTTACATCCCTAGCCTACTTCACTTCATTTTGGATAGAGATGTTTCTTCGGTCTCTTTCCATGAAATTTACACAACATACATTAATAAGGAAATGACAAAAAAACCGACAACAGCACATCTGTAATCCCAGCATGGGGAGGAGGGGATGTGAGGCAATGCAGGAGAGTTAAAAGTTCAAGGCCAACCTGGGTAACACAGGCCCTGTCTCAAAATAAATTATTATTTTTTTTTGAGACAGGGTCTCACTGTATGGTTCAGGCTAGCCTTGAATTCACTTTGTAGCCCAGGTGGGTCTTGAACTTGTAAGGATCCTCCTCCCTCAGCCTCCTGAGTGCTGGGATTACAAGTATGCATCATAGGTATGCCCAGCTTCAAAATAAAAAAATAATAAATAAATAAAAAGGTCTAGGGATAAGGCTGAGTGCAAAGGCCTTGAGTTCAATGCCTAGTAAGGAGGTTAAAGGGTAGATAAGCTTACTTGTTGAGAAAAATGTCTAACATATATTATTTGAATACCTGTAACAAATATGTACACATATATATAATTTTTATGCACACATATAACATATTCAAATTCACAAGTTACTCAGTTTTGACAACAAAGAAATCTTTACTATTACAAGATAGATCACAGGGGCTAGGGATTTAGTTCAGCGGCATAAGCGCCTGCCTTGCAAGTGTGTGGTTGTGAGTTCGATCCCTGGTACCGATAAAAAAGAAAGAGACAAAAAAAAAACCCAAAACAAACAAAAAAAAACCAAGATAGATCACACCACTATACTCAACAAGATGAGAAGGAAAGAGGCCATACATCAATTTCTTACCAACCACCATCAGCGTGAATTCAAAACCTTTTTTCACTGATTTTCGGTGAACTTGATTGGGAAGGTTTGCAAATCCAACATAACCAGGAGTTTCTGGATTTATAAACTGAGCCGGTTGTTGCTAAAAGAAGATTTTTAAAAAAGGTAATTAATGGCTTATTGGTTGTTTACAAGATATAATCAATTAGAATTGTGACAAACATAGGTAATTAGCTTACAAATTAGAAAGCAATCATACATTAACATGGCTAGTGTTCACTTAACAGCATTAAAAGAAGTAAAATCAATCTAGTATAATTCTTTAGCTATATACTGATCCAAAATTAATTCATATTAATGAATTAATATTCTGCTTAGTAATTTGGTAACACATACAAAATACAAGTTTAATTCATCTTAATACAATTTCAAATTTTGACTTGAGGTAAATACGGTCATAGGAAAAAAAAAAAAATCAATCAAACTTACAGTTTGTACCAAAATGATAAGTGGTTTTATTTAACAAGCATGGCTAAAAAACAGTCTATAACCAGGTATCAGGTGCTACGAACTTTATAAAAAGTATCCAGGAAAAGGTATTCCTCTTGTTACTCTTCTACCTCTGTGGGACAGAGTATCAACAAAATAACTCAAGTGATACAGGAGTGCATGCTAAGTATCTAATATCAAAGACCAAGAAAGAAAAGACTGAGAAGATCACAGCTGACCACACTGGTACATCACTGTTTTCTGACAAAAATATGTCTGATAAAATCATAAAGCAACAATACTTAAAAAAAAAAAACAAACCTAGAAAAAATAAAAGTTTTAATGCATCAATTAATTGAAAAAGGCAAAATAAAACATTTCTTTTAGGATTATGCTTTCTTTATGATATAGAGTCCTATATGCAGGCAGGCTGGCCTGCAACTATGTGGCCCAGTATGGTTTCAAACTCACGAAAATTCTACTTCACTGAGCCTCTTTAGTGCTGGGATTATATCCATGAACCATCACTCCTGAATAGGATTACATTTTGCAAATGCACATGTCCACACAAGGCAAAAGGAGAGCCAGGCTTGGTGCACGTCTGTAATTCCAAAACTCTACAGATGCCTGAGGCAAGAGAGTTCCAAACTTAAGCCCTGCCTGGGCAATTTTGCAAGACCTTGTCACAAATAAATAAAAGAATATTTATAAAATGATAACTATTTGTTTCTTGGTGGTGGAATAAAGGCTAATTTTCTATTTTGCTTATCTGTGTTCCACACTTGTTACTTTCAAAAAAGTAAAATCTCGTATAATGATATTTTTCCCACAGGCTCAAAAATAAAAGCAACAAGAAAAAATTTACCATTTTTAACCACTAATTCCACATCTTTCAGCGTTATGTGCTTCAGAAGCAATTTATTTCAGGGCTCTGTGACAATTTGTAAGCGCAAACTAAACCAATTTGTAAAGCTTAAAGATCCCATCCATTTTACCATGATAAACTTAGAATTTTAAATTATCTAGTCTGTTGGGAATGATCTAAGAAGGCTAACTGAATTGTTACTGACATATTTAGAATAAAAGAAAAAAGAAACCTGAAAAGCTTTCAAAACTTTTAGAATGACAAATCAGAATTTTGTCTGAGTGAATCAAATGCATAAGTCCTATTAAGAGTCTGGAAACTTGCCAGATATGGGGGTACAGGCCTGTAATCCCAGCATGTGGGAGGCAGAGCCAGGAGGATTGCTGCCAAGGTCCAGGCTAGCCTGGGCTAATAGTGAGCTCAAGGCCAGTCTGAACTACATAGGGAGACCCTGACTCAAAAGACAAACAGGCTGGGAATTTAGCTCAGTGCCATAAGCACCTGCCTGGCAAGCATGAGGTTATGAGTTCGATCCCAAGTGCCAAAAAAAAAAAAAAAATTCTGAAACATAAAGCAGTTTTTCTTTATATTATAGGTACACGATGATCCAAGGTCTTACCTTAGACATCTTTCTTGTTGTTTTCTCTATCTGTTAAAAAAAAAAAAAAAAGGTCTGTGTAAGCATCACAAAGCACATTTTACAGCATGAACAGCTTGCAAAGACTCTCACATATGGCATTTGGTGATCTGTGTTGTTTAGCATCTCGTATAACTCTCCAGAAATTATGAAATAACCATTTATACTTTTCATCATTCAGATAAACCAGGGTTAAAAACTGGAAGTTGATGAAAGCAACTGTGTATACATATGTGCACCAATACACATTGTGTATTTTCAATAATATTTTACATTTTTCCCAGTATTAATTGTATGCTAAGCACTAGGGATGCAACACGAGAAAAAGACAAAGTCTCAGTCTTTGAAAGTGAGTCATTTTTCTCCACTTTTCAAAATCTTTCAAGGAGGCAGGGATGCCCCTAGCAGAGCACTATGCCTGGACACAGCTGCCATTTGCAGGAGGTCTCCAGACCAACTTAAAACCTTACATGGGAACACAGGGCAAAATGTAAACTATATTTACAAGCTTAGGGACTTAAGTGTCTGAGAAGAGTGACAATAGTTTTAGAGATATGTGGAATTTTTATACAAAGAATAAAAAACCCTTCAGTTATAACTTGAAAAGTAAAAAAAAAAAAAAAAAAAAAAAAAAAACTTCGAGAAATGTGAAGTTTGTTGGTTTAACTTTTTTAGTGACAAGATCAAGAGCTGTGACTAGTCAAATTGGATTCTCTCTATAAAGTAGAAACAGTGGAAGCCAGGCAAGATGACACACATCTGTAAGCCCAGCACTTGGGAGACTGAAGCAACAGGATCACTGCAAGTTCAAGGCCAGCTTCAGCTCCATAGTGAGTTCAAGGCCAGCCTGAACTTCATAGTGAGACCCTGTCTCAAAAAAAAAAAAAAAAAAAAAAAAAAAAAAAAAAAAAAAAAAAAAAAAAAAAAGAAAGAAACGTAGCAGAAATCTTCTTTTACTTTGTTGTTTTCCATTTTTTCCCAAACTTTACCATTCCTGAATATTACATATCTCCTGATCCTCTTTGGAATGGAAATGTTTCCAAGCATCTTAGTATAAACGAGGTCATCACACCCCAATCTACTAGCCAAAGAAAGAAAGAAAGCAACAGTAAGATTTATAAGCTTTTAACCATACAATATTACATCTCACAGAAGACCTAGGTTATAGTTTTGATTCATCTTTTAGTGGCCCACTGTAAGCAATATACAGGAAACCTACTTTGTTAACATCAGTAGGTCCCACAGGCATAAAAGGGACAGACAGAAAAAAGTAACAAAGCTTCCCTGAGAAGAACAAAGACTACAGTCCATACATTAATGAACTATCTGGGACTGTGTTGTAAGATCTCTTGAATAGAAAGGACATTCCAGAAAAATTCTATTAATAGACTTGAATTAAAAATATTAAATTATCTCAGTAAAACCTAAAAGCTGGGGGCCAGAGAGAAGTAAAACTTTTTCTTTTTTTTTCCTTTAGTACTGATGATTGAATTCAGGGCCTCATGTCTGCTTGGCAAGTGCTACACACCTGTGGTACCTTCTCAGTACACTTTTAAATTTTGAGATAGTTTCCCTAGATAGTCCATGCTGGCTTTGAACTTGCAATTCACCTGAATAGCCTGGATTAAAGGTATATGTTACCACAGCCAGCAGAGAAATAAAACTTTCTAAAGGAAGCAGTAAGAGAGCAGATGGAATATGAGTACTTTTGGCAGGAGTTAATATCTTGACTTCAAACGAAGAGATAATGGTGTGATTATGAACGAAAAAGAAAGGTAAGCATTAAAGAAAAATTACAGCAAAACCTCCAAATTGAGAAACAACTCGAGAAACTGAAAAATAGCAACTTAATCAAATTAAACTGAGCAATCAAATTAAACCAAACTTAAAACAACTTAATCAAATTAACCCAAATTGAGAAACAAGAGTAACTTAATCAAACCAGCAAATATTAGGAAAATCAACAAGAGGAAACACAATATCAACAGCAATCTTAAACCAAACCTTCAGTGATGAAATTCAAAAGTATCAGTTATCAGTATAAACGAAAGAAATAAATTCACTCCTTAAAAGAGGACACGCAGTAACTCAGTGGTATGGTACTATACTTGCCTAGCACACATGAGGCCCTGGTTCCATTTCTAGCAATAAAATGAGAGGAAAAGGCTGGAGTTAAAACAAATATCACCCCAGCATATGCTATGTGGAAGAAATAGTCTTAAAAAAAAATGTATCAAAGGCTGAAAATACAGGGACAGATTAAGATATATCAACCAGGGCCGGGGATTTAGCTCACTGGCATAAGCACCTGACTGGCAAGAGCAAGGTCGCAAGTTCCATCCCCCATACCAAAAAAAAAGAGATACATACCAACCAGATCAGTGAAAAGACAGGCAGCATTATTAGTATCAGTCAAATGGGATTTAAAGGAAAAAGAACCAAACAAAATAATAGCAACAGTAAGTGGTACTGAAGGAAAAATTCTGAAACAAGATAGGACATTTATAATCCTATGTATATTCAAATAACGATTGCAGATAAATGTAAGCACCAAAGACAAGGAAAAATACAAGGCTAGCTTAATGAACATAATGCAAGGGAGGAAATTTTAATTACACTTTTCCTAGAATTACAGACTCAGTAAACACAATATGAGCAAAGGCACAAGATGGACTGAGCAGAACAGCCAAAAATCTGACTTTATATATAATACACTGATTATACTAACAATATAAGAGAATCACGACTCAAAAGTATAAAGAAAAATTGAAAAAAAATTATTTCAGTGCAGAGGACTAAACCCAGAGGCTCCCTGTGGGACAGTGTTTTATTTGTGTTTGGGTTGTGTGTGGTTTTTTGTTGTTGTTGTTGTTTGTTTGATGTTTCTCAGCTCAAAGCTCCTACTACTACTTCAGCCTTCTATATAGCTGGTAATACAGGTGTGTGCCACCATGTCTAACTAAAACAAAAAAATCCAATAATGTATCTATCATTTTAAAAAATAAAGTCTAGCTGGGCACAGTCGCACACATTTGTAATGCTAGCTACTGAAATAAGATCACATTTTAGGCCAGCTTGGACAATTTAATGGGACTTTATAATAAAAATTTACAAAGTAGTGATGATGTAGATCAGTAGAAAAGCACTTGCCTAGCACATGTAAGGCCCTGAGTTCAATCTCATATGCTACAAAATAAATAATCAATTTTAAATTTTTAAATATTAAACCACAACCCAGAAGGGAAAGGTAAAGAAGGGCTCAAAAGCAAAACTATAAGCTGTCTTCAGACGTCAAATTTATGGGACACAGTAAAATAATATCCAGAAATAAAGTCAAAAGAAAACATGAAATTAATAGTGAGAAAAACTGAAACTATGAGAAAAATGAAAAGGGTAAGTAAATTCAAAAGCTGATTCTCTGAAATAAATTCCTCATAAGCCCAGTTAAGGAAAAGAGAGCAAAGCAGAACATAAGGTACAATCATAGATCCAGGAAGATCACAAGTTTGAGTTCAGCCTGGCAACTTAGTGAGACCCTGACCCCTCCCCCAAAGATAAGATAAAATAACTCTCATTCAGGCATGGTAGCACATGTCTGTAAACCTAGCTACTTGGAGGACTATGAGGACCACCTGAGCCCAGGAATTAAGAAGTGGGCCTGAGCAAAGATAGTAACTATCTTTAAAGGAAAAAAAGGCAATTTTAGAATAAGATAATCTAGTATGGGTCTAAATACAAAATTATTAAGTCAAAACATTTTGGTGGGTGTGGTGGCACACATGCAATCACAGCACTAAAATTCCAAGTTTGAGCCAAGCCTGGGTAACTTAAGTGGCTTAGAGAGACTGCCTCAAAATAAGGCTTGGAATAACTCAGTGTGAAGGCCCTGGGTTTAATACTGGGTTCATACTGCCCTCCACCAAGGGTTTCTGATAACACCAATAAATATTATAAGATGAAAATGAGGCTAAAATGCCATTTACAACAGAGCAAGCAATTTTAAACGTAACAAATCTAGCAGTAAAGAAATTAAGGTCTGCACAAATCACATAACTTATTTTTTCCAAGTTAGTATTAGTAGGTCTAGTTCTATCTGGTATCTCTAATGATGTGCCTTTTTCTTAAGGATTGGGTAATATCCTTCAAATTTACAAGGAAAGATAAATGAGAAAATGGTGGCCAGTTGTCTCAATAATTCATGTATCAGATTTCAAATCAACAACCAACACAGTACCACACCACAGTATCCTGGAGTGCCTCTCCTGCCTTCCACAGAACCCTGGAACCGTGCAACGTGAGGATTGTGCGGGCTCTGAGCAATCTCATGTGAGTACCCCAGCACACTGCGCTTCACACTGCTTTCAGTCCCTTTCTGTTCAGCATTCTGAGGGCTAAGTGCGTTTCTGGAGGGGAAAAAGGTGACTTTATTCCCATCAGGTTCCCTCTCAAGAGCTATACCTGAGGCACAAGTATAGCAAAACAGAGAAGTTTGAATTCTCAGAAGACATTCAACTCTGCTTTAATTTTATCAAGTCCCTCTAACCGCATAGAGGTTATTTTTTCTTTTTTTTCTTTCCTGAAATACAGTTGTGATCTAAAATTATTTCCTAACAATTTTTGAACTAATATAAAACTAAAGGTGAAAAGAGATTGCTGAAATGCTGAAGCACTTGGTTTTCAGGAAGAAATTCTTGATCCAGCAACACAGACTATCAAAGACAACAATTAACTTAAGTCTCTGGTGTTGAACAATTTAGGATCTCCCGAATCTCAAAAATGTGGTCAAAAGAAAATTTTATTATTTTATATAGTGCTCATTTTAAATGTCAAAAGTTGCTCTTTATTCTTGATCCACAGCTTCCTTCTTTCACACAACACTTGTTCCAATTCACATACATCAGAACAAAATTTCCACAAAACATGAGATGAAAAACGATGGACAAAACTATCCTTGGTGCGCGAGAGATTTAGCTCAGCGGCATAAACGCCTGCCTGACAAAAGCATGAAATCGTGAGTTCCATCCCCGGTATCAAAAAAATCCAAAAAACAAAACTACCCTTGGCATTTTAACCTTATGTTGCTAGAGATACTTATAATAATGAAATACTCACACATAAATTGAAACTACCATTCACTGACATACATTATTCTCATATACCAAATCCACAATCCACCCTCCAATGTAGGATTCTAAGGTTCTGAACCTTTTATCCAAACACTTGGGATGTTTGGCATTCAGATTCTTCAGATTTGAGTATAAAACATGACACTCTCAACTGGGCCTGGGGCACCCCACAATCAAACACATTTTCAGTAGTGATGTGTGACCATTAACACCGAGTAGTATAAATACAGGATAAATAAATAGCCTTGCCTTAATTCTTTGGTCAAATGAGTTTTGGTTAACCTTGAAAGGGATGGTGACAAATTTTCCTTTTTATAGATTCTGTATCTTAGAATTGGGAAAAAGGGCTTGAACCACGTTCATGAATGATGAGCAGGAGATAACCCCTCTTTTCCTTAGGACATCCTGTTAAATAAGAAAGAGAATCTCATCTAAGTAACTTCTGTGCTTAAAGCTGGGCATGATGGCCTTCTGTAAAACCAGTACCTGGAGACAGAAGCGAAAGAAATCTCCAACTTTGAGGCCAACCTGGGCTACACAGTAAGTTCAAGGGCCGCCTAGACTACACAGCAAGATCCTGTTTCAAACAACAAAGCAAGAGAAAAGCTTTTGATCAACTCTGACAGCGACTAGAGATCAGGGTGAAAAGTGGAAAAAATAAAGGACAACGTTTATAACCTAAAGAGAAAATCAACGTCAAAAGTAGATATAACAGTATATATTGCCAGTATGCTGAGTGGTACTAATTCCTGAATGGGAACTACCAAAATTAATCACTGAAAATAACCTCAAATTACAATCACTAGGAAACAGCTTTCATGATCCTTACTCCATTGCTTTGCTTACGATGACCAATACTGCTTTAAAATATTAAATATTTAAGTATTACAATGACTGGGGCCACTCAAGAAATACTGGATAACGTAACTGCGTTCCACAGAAAATAATGGGAGTGGGCAGAGGCGAGTGATGTCGAAGCAGTTTGAACTGGCCGCTCATTGCGGTTAGGCTCTGAGTTTGTGTTCGCAGTCCAGGAAAAGTAGGGTAGCACTGACGAAAACGGGACCAGAAAGATAAAAGAGATCTATGCATTGTCCCGGTATGGGCCGAGTCAAAGGTGAGACTCCACTGTTCCCCACCACCTCTGCCGAGTCCCCTTACCCGTGCACTGAGCCCCACCCGTCTAACGTCACCACAGCCCGCCGAGAGCCACCGCGGACAGAACACGGTCCTTCGCCTAGCTCAGGAGCTTTGCCTGGTGGTGGGGGAGGGGACTGGCGAGCACTGTGAACGTCACGGAGCGGCCGGCACATCGTCCTCCTCTCCGGAACAAAACGGCACCGTTAGAATGACAAGATGGCCACAAAACCACAAGGGCCCAGCCAGCCTGAATCTGCAGCTTCCCTCCCCAACTCCCTCGCCCGCCGGTGGTGGACGATCGGACGCCGCGTAAGAGGAGCCTGCCCTGTAGCCCAGCCCCAGGCTACGCAGCTCTTGGGGTGGGGCGTCCACCCCGCATTCACTTGGGGACGCGGGCCGCTCGGGTGGTGGAGGGCCCGCTCCTCTCCCACGCCTGCCCCGCCCCTCCAGCCACAACTCAGAGACACAGAACGCTGCCTAAGGGCTAGGGCGAGAGGGTCGTATCCACACTTCCCAGGGCAGGGCAGGCATACAGTTCTAGCCCCCACCACAGCGAGGACTCTTGAAAGACACTTACCAGCTAGACCGCCGGAAAGAAGAGCCCACGACCGCGCCACGGACCCGCCCCGCCCCGCACGCAGGCAAATTGCGTCATCACGGCGCACCTCCCCCTGCCAACTCCTTCCTGGCCGGAGCTGCCCGGCCTGTCTCCGCCCTACTCCGGCCGGCTCCCAAAGAGCAGGCGCAGACGCGTCCCCCTTGTCAGCGTCGGTGCAGGCGCCGAACCCCTCCCACGGCGGTTGGCCATACAGAGGCTGGGGGCGGGGAGGAGGTCAAGCGTAGCCTCTTCTCCTTTACCAAGATGGCGCCTTGTCCGCGTTCCGCCACAGTTCCTACCTTATGAGCCTGGTTTCTTCACGCTAATAAGATTGGAACAGGTAATGAGAATCTTCGCCTTATGGGCAACTACAGTGGGGGGAAGTGTGCTTCTCTAGAATGGGTCAGGTGGCCACGAGGATAAGAGGCGGCCGGGGCCGGCAAGTAGCGTTGTGAGTGCCAAGCAATGACGGGGAAGAGGCTTTCGACTGGCCCCTTCCTCCAGAAAGATGGCGGCAGCACTGAACTGCGAGCGCCGAGCTGGGCCGGGTAGAGGCTGGCGTGGTTGCTCTAGCCCCTGCCGCGGTCGTCTCGATGGTACGTTGTCGCCCCGGGATTGGCTGTATGTGGGTCACGTGGGAGCACGCCAAACGCACACCACAGAGTCGCACAGGTCCCCGGGGACGTAGCCTTCCTGTGCAGGCCGGGGCCCTCTCCCCGCTGGGGAGGGCGGAGCCGGCGCGGCCCCTCGCTTCTCCTGGTCTGGGGCGCGAGGTGAGACCTGCGGCGTGGCCTACGCGCCGGCTCTCAGTGACCGTCTCGGGGTCGGGAGGGTTCCATACCCGGTTGCGGCCTCCCTGGGACGGGCGCGGCGCCGAGGCCAGATGTCCTTTCCTCCGTCTGGGGCCCCCCAATATACCGGGCGGCGTTCAGAAATGTTGGCCTGGGCCTGGCGCCAAGGCCCCTCCGCAGGAAGCCTCACTAGCGTGTCCTGATCGAGAAGAAATACTTCTTGCATCCCTAGTGGGTAACAAACACGGTGTTGGGTCCCTGAGCTGTACTGACACATGACTTGTGAGAGTATATTTTGCGTAGCCCCTTAGAGAAATGGCCAGGTGTTGATATGTCTCTGCCTGTGTTCTCTCCCATCCGACAGAGAAAAGTGTCAAACTTGACATGATGTTGCATACTCTGCAGACCAGAGGAACAACCGACCTGTGTTATTTAAAAAAAAAAAAATGCTGACAGTCAGATGAAATGCCTGGAGGAACATGGGGAGGTTGTAATCCTCATTTACAGGATGACTTACTTGCCCTTCAGCTTTGAGTTTTGCTCTTTGTATCTGGGTTTGCTATCCCAAACCTTCTGGGAATGACTTCACACATTTTGTTTGATGTTTAAGGAAAGTCAACTGCTTTCTTAGCTGGTTTAGTAAAACCCTTTCAGGTAGGTTAGGGCACAGGATAGGATTTCGTCTGAGGTTGCTGGTGGCCACGCTCCATAGTAAGCCCATTATGAAGATAAACCTGGTACTGAAACATGGAATATAATCTAGTGCTTAGCTTTATATTTTGATCATGTTGAACACTCGACTGGTTTAATGCTAATGTAAACTCTTTAAAAGCAGTGTTTTGAAGTAGCCAAAAAGCTGTTTGGTTAAAAATAACCGCCAGCGTGTGAAATTTTCACTTCTCTGAATCATTAACCATTAATGAACCTACTGAAAGTTTTAGATTTGGAGAAAATGAAGCATACCTCTAAAATCTGAGGGAGCTTTTGAAAACCGTGTAACTAATTCATAATGAGGATTAAGCTTTCTTGATACTATGTTCTGTGCAGCAAGTACAGTTGAATCAAACTAAAATCACCTGGGAGAAAGTACATCAAGTGTAAGGAAGCACTAGGGCAGATCTATGTCTCTGCCCTCTGGACAGCTGACTTCTCCCATTCTTCTGGTTGGAGAATTTAAATATTTTGTTTGTTTGGCTTTGTTTTGATTTTCTGACTTCCACCTTATTTGAGATGTGGTGGTACACACCTATAATCCCAGCACTCTTAAGAGGCTGAAGCAGGAAGATCACACATCAGAGCTTAGCCTGGTTAATTTAGTGAGATTCCGTGTCAAAATTAAAAGGACTGGGTATGTAACTGAGTGTGAAAGCTCCAGGTTCAATTACCATTACCACATATACACATGTAAAGAAAATATATGCTGGAAATTGCCATTACCAGCCATTGTTAGGGTCTGGGATGCAACGGAAAAGAAGATAACAGATTTTTTTTCTTCATGAAGTTGATGGTGTAATCTAGAAGATTCACATTCAAGAAAAACCAGGGTCACAGATGCAGTTATGGAAATACGTACCAGATGTGGAGTTAGGCGGCAGTGGTTACTTGGAATGTCTTCCTAAAGAATGTGTCTTTAAGCTTAAAAGATAAGTTTTACCAGCTGGAGTTGGCAGGATGGGGCCGTCTAGACCCAGTAGTGCATACGGCAGCAAGGTAAGAATTTGGTAGACTGTGGATGCTGTGAGGGCAGAGGGCTTGACTGATTCTATGGAATCAGGGCTTTATGAACTTGAGTGACTTTCACCTCAGACCTTCTGACTTGAGTGGGATTTTAGATCAGTGTAGTGTGATGTCCTTAAAGATCTCCCATGGATCTCCACTAGGGCCTCCCACCTGGAAGTTATCTACTGAAAGGGCTTCAAGAGAGAGATACTTCGGAGTACATATTGCCTTGGCCTCTTGGGTGTGCATACTTCTGTGCCAACCAGTGGTAGGAGTCCCTTGCATTTTTTATTATTCAGTCATGAAAGTCTCAAAGACTTACAGCACATGGCTATTTCTTAGTTGCTGAGTTATGGTGATGCAAAGTCAAAAGATGCATATGGAGATTTTTGACTGAGAGAAAAAGCAGACACATAGAGTCTCAACCATTATAAGATATCAGAATCCATTTCCCCTTAAATTGTAAAAGCACAACATTTGGAAACAAACAAAAATAACCCAAAGGGACTATTTACATGTATAACATTTAAAAATGTTTTATTTTTAGAATTAGAGACATTTTAAAGATGAAATCCCTGGTAGGCTACTGTTCTACTAGGCTCTCTGCAGTTTCTCAACTACCATTTAAGATGAGCTAGACCTCTGTTCTGAGACAAATCTGAAAGTCGTATCGAATATAGTCATCCCTTTGACATTTGCTGTTATTAATCTGGTAATAGTACACTGACCATATGTGCTCTTCTTTACTATTTAATGGCACCTTTATATATTTTAAAATTAAAAACATTTCAAATCAAGAGTATATCTTCATAATTTACACAATCAATCTTTGAAAGGCTTTTAAGGAAGAAGTCCTAATGCCCTTCCACCGGTCACATTTCTTTCTCTGCAGAGAATGCTCCTTTGCCTCTTAGCGAATTCCATTCTTGGCTTCCAATACTAAACATGTTTGCTTGACTTATTTGTATCTCTTGTTTCAGGGATTGTTTCTTTGCTTGACAATGACAGCAGATGTGAAGTTTCTAGCTTTCTCTTTCACTCCTTGGCTTTCTTTATACTGACAGACTCATGGCTGTATAAAGTAGCTAAGATAGATCCTTAATTGGGTTAGTTTAATATTTAGAACTTGTTATACATAAGCATGCTATGTACATAGTGCCTTGCACAGCTGGGCCAGATGCATAATAGTATTATTTTTACTTTACCAGATATATTTTTCTTCTTGTTATTACAAATCTTCTTGGAGTTTTTTTCTTTTTTTGTTATTTGTTTTGAGACAGGATCTTGCTGTGTAGTGCAGGGTGGCTTTGAACGTATGTAGCCCAGAATGGCCTGAAACTCACAGCGATCCTCCTGCCTGTCTCCCCCGAATTATAAAATCTTGTTTGCTTAGGTTTCTTTGTATTTATCATTAAATTGAGACTCAGAGTTTATGTCAATTGTTTAAAGTCTCCTTTCAAGAAAGGTCTTTTGTATGATGAAGTGCAGTATTGCTCTTGTCATTTTGAATTAGTCTTTTTCAATGTCTCCAATCTCTTGCAACCTGACTATACCTGGAATTTTTTTCAATGTTCTCACGGAGTTTGGTTTTCTGGAACTCATATCCTCCTGTCTTGGTTATTTTTCCATTTTGATGGAGCACATCCTCAAATGGTTTCCAGAGAAAGAGGTTTTGAGATACTTTGTGCTTTGTTTTCTCCCTTTGTAGTTAGTTGAGTAAGAATTTGGACCTGATTTTGCTCCTCCCAGGTTCTCGGGTTTTAAGAAGTCTTCAGCCGTCCTGAATCGTGAGCCTTTGTCTGTGACAGTCTTCCTTGGTGAAGCTTGACGACTTTGCTGTCTTCAGAAAATTCATAGCATGCAGGGTAAGATTGCTTTGAAGTTGGTTCTCAGCTGTTGCGTTGTCTGTTCTCTTGGTCTCTTCATTTGGAAATACATGCTCTTCAACCCTGGGCTTTTTCTTGATTTATTGGTTAGATTTCTTCCCATTTACTTTTTTATACTGTTGGACTTTTGGAATTAAGATCGCTGTTTTTTCTATTTCTTCGTTCTCATGTCTTTTTTTTTTTTTTTTAATTTAAGGAGAAGAAAGAAAAAAAACAGAGAAAGAGTACAAGTTATACAGAATTTCAGAAAAAATAAACAGTAGGAAATCCCTAGTTAATTACATATTGTCATCTTAGAAATAGTTGTTCAAGTTACAAAATTAAAGCATATAGAGGCGACTTTCAAACAGTGAGACTGGAAACAGTTTTGTTCAATGATCCAATAAAACTCAGTAATATAGTTATCTATCTTATACACTTAAATATATATGCAGTTATATCTTTTAGAACACTTTCTTTTCCTTTCTTTTGTACAATGACAATTATACATTTTGGGTTTTATTACTCCCACAGTTCTTATTACTTTTTTTTTTGAAGAAAGTAAAACTAAATGTGACATAACAGGACAGAGTCAGTCAAATCAGAAGGATGGACATAATACATAATATAAAAACAAAATACAAGATGATCAACAATGGTTACCATAATGCCTCTTGTTATCTTAAAAAGAGTTGCCTATATCATCAGTTATAATAAAATTGAACAAAACAGTAAAGAATAAGACCAATAAAACCAAAACATTGGAGACATTAGAGGACTTCAAAAGACGATAATAGTCAACCAGATTGGGCATCAAAATGAATCTTATTGTCTTCAAACTTTCGAACTCGGTACTATCAAGCATAACAGAATAGAGGAAAATCAGTCAAAACAAGATGGTGAGAGCAATACAAGGTTTCAAATCAACTTAATAGGAAATCAAAGTGGGTTACTATAATATATCCTGCTATTTTTAATTTATTTTTTCCTTAATTAAAAGGGTAAAAATGAAAAAGTAGATAATAAAAAGGAGATTGAGATAAAAAAGAGGGCATAACAACAAAACAGCGCAGGTCAAAACATAGCCATTTAAGCAAAATAGTGTTTCACCACAAGATACTCTCGACATATAAGTAGTTACCATAGTGTCTCTTCCCTTAAAATCTTTAGGTGTAACTTCGTATACTGTAGCATCAAACATATCAAGACAATGTAAAACCGTTCAAGAGAATGACAGTATTACAGGGTATTTAGAATCAACTAACAGAAAATGAACAATGGTTTCTATATAATGTCCTTGTCTATAAAAGTTTTTGTTTATATTATCACATATAATAAAATCCAATAAGATACAACAGGTTAAAACCGATGGAGACAGAAGAACAAAAGCTTGATGGGACTTCAAAACAAGAGGATATTAAATCAGCACTACCTATTATGATGTCTTGTTTTCTCCAAAATGGCTGTTCCTACCATCCAACCTTCTCTGCCTCATTTCTGTTGAGCTCTTTTTCTGTCATTAGTTGTCAGTTTGTCTTCTTCATTTCGCTTTCTGCTCCATTCATTGTGGCCTCTCTGCCACTTTTCTGGAATCTTGGTGTTTTTCATTTTTAGAATATCCTGCAGTAATCTCTGTAGAGTTGAATTGGTGGTTGCAAATTCCCCTCGTTCCTCTTTATCCTGGAAGTACCTTGTTTTTCCATCAATTTCTAGGGACAGTTGTGCAGGACATATCAATCTTGGCTGGAGATTATTATCTTTCAAAGCTTGAATTATTTCCCCCCACGCTCTTCGTGATTTGATGGTTTGTGCTGAGAAGTCTGCTGTAATTTTGATGGGTGTTCCCTTGTAAGTGATCTGTTTCTTGTCTCTGACGGCTTTTAGTATTCTGTTCTTATATTGGATTTCTGGAATTTTGATTATTATATGCCTGGGTGTAGCTCTGTTTGGGTTGTAGGTGGCTGGGGTCCTGTATGCCTCATACATCTGAGTATCTTGACCTTTTGCTAAATTAGGAAAATTCTCCTGGATTATTTCTGTGAGTAGCTTTTGTAGTTCATTTGTTTGTGTCCCGACTTCTTCTTTTATGTTCTTAATTCTTAAGTTGTAGATCCTCTTATCATCTTCTAGCCTTTGTATTATTGCTGTTTGTTTTCTTGTTATTTTTAAGAAGTTTTTCATTTCATGCTCCCACCTTCCAAATCTGTCCTCCAGTTCTGATAATCTATCCTTAGTTTCTTTCAAGCTCTTATGCCAGCTTTCGATAGAGTTTTTAGTTTCGTGGTAATCTCTTTGAACCTGCTTCACGTATTCTATGTTTTCTCTATTTTCTCCATCAAACAATTCTCCTTTTTTTCTGTTCTTCCATTCTACCATCTGTTTTTTCTTGGGTGGTGCTTAGCATTTCTCTAACTATTCTACTTATTTCTTGATTTATTTCATTAAATGCTTCATTTTTGAACTCGTCTATGGGGCTCTGGAGATACTGCTTGATGACTATTGGTGCTGTGTCTAATATTGCATGTTTTCTGTCTTCATTCTCTTTTGCATTTACCTTTCCTGGATCAGTGTTCTTAGGATTGGGTACTGAGGACCCTTTCTTGTTGCTCCCTTTCCCCATACTTTTTGTTCCTTCCATACACGCATATGTAGGAGGCCCAGATTTTTTTTTTCTCTTTGTCTGTTACAGTTTGTTTGAATCCGCTGGCTAGGTGTTCCTGCCCACTGCAGTGTACTAGGGAGACACAGAACTGGGCAGCCTTTGCTGGTCCCGTCCCTCCAGATCAACCTAGTGAATGCTTCACTGCTAGGGTGCATCGCCAGGCACAGGGACCTGATTTGGGCTAGGCTACTGGATCTTAGTCCGCGCCGTCACCAGGTCCAGCGCTCCCCACCAATCCAGCTTGAGAGGGGAATATGTGACTAAAGTCGCTGCAGGGCCCTGTTCTGGCTAGTCTGCCTGTTCCCAGAATGTCCTCTGTTGGAGCCTCCTAGTCTATGAAAGGGTCCCCATTTTTCTCACTCATCGCAGGTTGATGCAGGGTTCCCTGCCAGTCCCGCTCTCAACGCCGTTTGGTTCCCCGATTCCCACTCTCAGAGCTTTCGCACGTCTCTCTCCCTGCCGGGCCGATTGGGACGCAGCAGTGGCAGCAGGAAATTCAAATCTCAGCTTCCAGTGGCAGGGGCTCTAGCTTCTGTGCTGAGATTTTATCTGTTCCTGTTATAGCATCAGGATTGCATTTACAGTTGGTTTCTCTCAGTTTAGTTCGTTCCTGGGTCGGCAGGGTACATCTCCCCTCACTTAGGACTCCTCACACAGCACTGCTCCTGGATTCTAAGCTGGTAATCTCAGAGAGCTGCTGTGGCTGCTGTTATTTGTCCACCATGTTCTCCTGGAAGTCGGAAGTGAAGATCTTACATGTCCTTCCTCCTAACCAAAAGCTGATCTCCCTTCCATCTATAAATCTACTGCATTGACCGCTGAATTGAAAAGCTGAAAGTCCTCATATGTCTTTATAAATTACAAATTGGCAAGTTACATAGTTACAAAGCACTGTGATTTATGAATATGATGCAGTGTAATAGATCAAGTTAATATATTTTTTGTCTTTTTCCTTTTTATCGTACCTCAGATCGAACTCATGACTGCCTGCTTGCAAGGCAGGCGCTTATGCCGCTGAGCTAAATCCCCAGCCCATAAGACAACAGGAATCTTTTTTTTTTCTTTGCCTTTTTCCTTTTTATCGGTACCGGGGATCGAACTCACGACTGCCTGCTTTCAAGGCAGGCGCTTATGCCGCTGAGCTAAACCCCCAGCCCCCAAGTTAATATATTTATCACCTCAGTTTTTTTTTTTCTGGTGAAGCATTTGAAATGTACTTTTAGCAATTTAGAAATGTATGTCATTATTGAGTACTATATTCATCATGTTGCAATGTCTCTTAAAAAACAGTCCTATCTATTGAGGCTTTGCACCTCATTTTAAAAATTTTTATTAGTACATGTTTACAGTACATAGCAGTTGCATTCATTGTGGGGAGTTGGAGCATGTACCTAACATATATTCTTCCTTGCCACCCCTTTCCCCTTTCTCTACCATTATTTTGTAACTCACGGATGCAGTATCTTCTTTATCTCTCTCGATGTTGAGTTTTTTGGTAATTTTTTCCCCCTTTGGGTCACTGTTATTTCAGGCTGCTTTTCATCTGTTGGAGAGTGTTAATGGTTTGTGTCTAGATGTCCCTCCAAAGCCTCATGCATTTTTAGATGGGACTGTTTTGAGGGTGGTTGAAGGTAGAGGGTGTGACTGATTCATGGTACATTGTGAGGATTAAGGGTGAGTGAATGCTGGATCAGTCCACAGACTGGTTTGGCACTGTCCTGATCCCGGTAGACTGCATACAATATAAAGGGAAAAAAGAGGCTTGTCTGTCCCTTCTCTTCTTGCTTTTGCTGTCTTCTGCCACCATGAACAGTTGCCCTTGTGGCATGCCACCCTACCTTAGAGCCAGCCAATTATGGACTGAAACCTCTGCAAACTGAGAGATAAATAAACCTTTCTTCCATAAACTTCTGAGTGTTAGGTAGTTTGTCTCAGCCAAGAGAAAAGTTAGACAGGGTTTTAGCTTTCATTTTAGAGCCTTTGTTGGATTATCCATTTGTATTTTTGTGGCTGCTCCTGTGTCACAGGACCTCTGAATGTGTGATCATGCCCTGCCTACTGCAGCTTTCACTTTTCTCCAGACTAAAGCCCTCTGCTTCCTCTGTGTATGCCCAGAGAAATGTCTGCTAGCCCCTTGCCTGGCTGCCTTGCTCAGTGGCCACATGCGGGACAGGCCTGGGATCTCAGCACTAACAGAGAAAAACCTACTGCCTCTTTTCAAAATGGACTCCTACCCACCATTGTGACTGGTGCCCCCAGTTCAAAGATTGTGTTTCCCTTTCCTGAGAAAACAGTGACAGCCTTTGGCCAGGTCAGAGAGGGACACCATCCTGCTGTG